GAAAGGGGGAACCAATTACAAGGATCTACATATAACCTCCTCCCTGGGGGACAGACAACAGGAAAGTGGGTGAAGGGAGATGTTGGACAGTGCAAGATATGACAAAATAATAACATAAATTATCAAGGGTTCATGAGGGAGAGGGGAGGGAGGGGAAAAATGAGGAGCTGATGTCAGGGGCTTAAGTGGAGAGCAAATGTTTTGAGAATGACGAGGGCAACGAATGTACAGATGTGCTTTATACAATTGATGTATGTATGGGTTGTGATAAGAGTTGTATGAGCCTCTAATAAAATGATTAAAAAAAAAAAAAAAGAAATGGATCTTGCACCAGAAGTTTCTAGTTAGATTGGGATTTTCTCATTTTGATATTGGGAGCCACATGATTTCTTATCTGCCCTTGGAGGTGGAGATTCTACTATCAGTAGGATGTGACCGGAAGCCTCAATCAATGTCCAGCCTCTAATGCGACCCTCCCTCCAGTCATTCCTAGTTTCAGTGAGCTGGCCCGTCCTTTGCTGTTGTTCCCAAACTGCCCACTTTGGGTTTGCTTTTTCTCTGGGCTCCTATTTCAGCGGGAGCCACCTGACTCGGTATGCGGATCCAACTCTGTCTTCAGGTTCTTCGCCCCAAGTCTTCTTCCCACTCTATATTCTGGGACCCCTGGCTTTGGGAGCACCTCCTGCCTCCTGAAGTTATCTTAGGGGTTGGCGAGAGGGCAGCCTTCACTGGCCTCTCTCCCCCATGGTGATGGAGACGCCTGACACTCTGTCCATTTGCTGACTACATACCACAGCTTGAGGGACGAAGCAGCTCTTGTGCCTACAAGATAATAAGCTGCACTGGGCTGGCCAAGTGGCACCCGGCGACCTTCCCTGAAGGCTGCCGTGATACTGCAGGTAACTTTGGAAGTGAAGGAGCTACACTTGGCTGGTTTGGGCACGAGGCCACTCAGAGGTTAGTGATGAGAGAACCCGTTCTATTTTAAGACAACCTGCTTCCATCCGGGTTGTTTGTCTCCCCAAGTATCAGCAGAATAGAATTTGTGGCTGGAACATCATGAAGCAAATGTTGCCAGTTCCAACTGACCTTTGCAATTCCACAAAGATGTGGCTTCATCTCTGTGGCTTATGAATGGTGCAACAGTTATGAAGTAGATCAAATCTGGGCCAGGCTATTGAGAAATTCTTTCCTTCAGCAGGGTTGGAATCATTATATTCTAATGCAATAAAACTCCGACACACCGCCTTGAGGCGCAAACAAGGAGACAGGGTAGATAATTGGGGGTTTTGAACAATTAAATCTGGACAGCCAGTTCTGTCAGGTCTGGTGCACATGCTGAGAACTGAAGCTGCATTTCTTCAGTGTCCCTGGTGCAGGTTCATTGTGAGCAGGAAGCAGACAAGGAAAACACACAAGGGCAGGCAATGCTGTGGGGCAGTCCCACATGGTCCTTGAGGGTCGCTACGAATTACCATCGACTTGGCAATACACAACAGCAACAACGGTAAGCAGGAGGGATTTCAAACGTCTGATACTTGGGCAGGAGGATAACAAATAACCAGAGGGGTTGTATGCACTTAAAAAAATTCAACAAGAAGGGACTGACAGTAAAATATTTTCCCATTTTAGTCTAGTGATAAAAAGAAACGGGAGGCAGTTAAACAAGAATATCATTTTCTTTTAGAATAGTCATAAGGGTTTAAAGTGAAAAAAGGGGGAAGGTTACATACATTTTTGTGAATGTTTATGCGCTAAAAAAAGTATCCTAAGAAGAAACCAAGCTGCATTATTGAATACATATTATACTATCTTGTATGAAATACAAAAAAGCTATTCATCACAGTCACTGAATTTTCTCAAAATAGCTAGATTCGCAGAAAAAATGACACCACCAAATCATGAGAAGCTGTTGTCAATAAATGTGTGCTCCTGATGACAGTGAGAAGGGGCGAGAATCTAAGAAAACAGTGTAACGCAAGCTTTAGGACGGCAGCACGAAGTCACAGAGGGCGTTCTTGGCACAGGTCTTCTGCTTACCATCCTGTCACTGCCACGCCTACTTTCTCCCTGTCTACCCTCCTCACTTGTCTATTCGCCTGTCTTGGCGTAGGTCTTAATAGGTCTTCCCCAGGCACTCACTCTCCTCCCTGAAGCCCTGCCAAGAGTCAACCAGAGGAAAAAAAACACAGTCTAGAACATGCCTCACAGGTCTGCCACACACACCGGCCCCGACCTACCTCTTCAGACCAACTTCATGCTATTCTTGGACCCGCTCACTGTCCTCTGTCCAAGGTGGCCTTCCAGTTCTGCATGTTCACCGTGCTGCTTCCTAACCCAGGTCCTTCCAGCCCAGGCCCCTCCCTTGTTACCACACGAACTTCCATTTTCCCTTCAAGTCTCAACTTGAGGCACATCTTAAGGCAGCTGTGCAAGAGCTGCATACCATCAAGGCTGTGCTGGCCAATGTATGAAAACATATACGCAAAGGGGCTGTCACTGAGTGCATTGAAAAAATAATGCGTAGCCCCTTCCACCAATTCTAAGCATCAACACGATTGCAATTTAAACAATTAAGATTTAGTAATTTCCCTATAATCTATGACCTTGCCTAGTCTCTTAGCTTTGACCACATGTGTCTAACTCAATTTTCAGCTCCAGCATGGTGCCTGGCTTAGAAGAGATTTTCCATCCATGTTTGTGCAAATGATGAATAAGTCTATGATTGGAAGCCTGCCTAATAGTAAGTAGGTTGAGCCCAATTGTGATCTCTTCCCCGCCTCTTCCCTACTGCTCTCCCTCTTCCCTCCCCCTCTCCCTCTTCCCTGCTGCTCTCCCTCTTTCCTGCCCCTCTCTCTCTTCCCTACCCCTCTCCCTCTTCCCTAACACTCTCCCTCTTCCCTGCCTCACCAATTACTTGGCCTTAAGGGCCGTAGTGAGGAGTAGACCAAGAACAGAGTGCAGAAAGTTTAGGTTGATCTACATGATAACTTGACTTGGCATTTGTTTCCGTAACTGTATCATGGGAACAATGAACTTGGTTTAATGCCTAACGCACAGTAATCAATAAATGGCAGTTATTCTGATTGTTATAATGATCGGTAATTTTGGTCCAACCTTTTTCATACTTTGTTGCTTATTGCACTTAGAGTTGAATAACTGACTGAAATGCATCTGCAGTGCACTAGAGCACCCTTCACTTTGGTCTTACACACTGGAAGTAATGGAAGTAGAATTTCCATAGACATTTCCATTTCAAAGGATTGTAGGTTTAGGTTCACAATTATTAATTTAGTGTGTACTGGCCTTGGAAGCATTAAAAACATTGGGTGGCATCTGTACACAATGGGACATCCCCTCACAGAAGGGTCGCAAGGAGGGGAAGAGTCAACCAGGGTGATGTATAGCACCAATGAAACACACACTATTCTTCTGGTTCCTTGAAGTTTCCTCACCCACCACTATCATGACCCCAGTCCTGCCTTTCACTGCGGGTTAGGCCGGAGCATGTGCACAGGTACAGATAAGAGCTAAGGACACACAGAATCCAGGTCAGATAAGCCCCCTGGGAACAGAAATGGGAGTAGCAATACCAGGAGGATAGGGGGAAGGTCGGGAGAGAAAGGGAGAAGAAACCATGGGGGAAAGGAGACAGCGGTCGGTGTCAGATATGAAATGAATAATAATTTATAATTTATCAAGGGGTCACAGGGTGGGAGGTGGGGAGGGGAGGGTAAAAAGAGGGGCTGATACCAAGGGCTCAAACAGAATGTGAATATTTAGAAAATAATGATGGCAACATATATACAAAAATGCTCGATACAATTGATGTATATGGATTGTTATAAAAGCTGTAAGAGCCCCCAATAAAATGATCTTTAAAAAAATCCCCCAAAAACATTGGGTGGAGAATGAGTGTAACAGGCTACCTGTTAACTTGGCTTCAGAATAAAACCTAACAAGCGTGCTGACCCTCTGTCGAGCCACCCAGGCCTCCCGGTTACTGACTCTACTGACCTTCTCTAGTCGGTAGATGAGCTCTTTGGTGGAGAGCTGGATAAGGGGAGCTATGAATTCACAGATGACGTTCACAATCATCACCAGATTCTTTCCCCGCTGTGCCCCGATGATGGCATGGCACACCAGCTTCTCTTTGACGACCTGCAGACAAAGTAGACCAGCAACTGAATGACCTACGGAGAGCACCTTGATTCAAAACTACCCGCTTGGGTACTGAGAAGAGTATGCTTTGCAGAATGATGCATTTCAGGGGTCTGCCTCTGCCATACAATTAAAGTCTGATTGGTTAATTATGTCCTTGGTGCGTCCCATGTTTACTTCTTACAGCCCCTTAGGGCAAATCAACTTGCATTCAGTTCTCCCAGTATCTATAGAGCGTCTATTATGCATCAGGAAGGAGCATATGTACATAATAGTGTTAGGAGCAATTCATACATAACAGTGATGAGCAAAGAGGATGGAGTCCTTCAAAGTTCTTACAGTGCTTTTATGACTTCTCAAGAAGCTGGCTGAAAAGTTTGCCTTCATTTTTTTATGTCTATCTAAAACTTGTGCCATAGAATTAATTTACTTTGGACCTAACAAGCCTAGATTTCTATAACACAGGCAGGCCCCAAAGGAAACATCATGAACAGCTTAGCTACTGTTGAGGAGCGAGCAACAGTTTCTGATGTCAATGTATTTAAGTCTCTTCTCAATTATGTAGAATAATTTGAAAGTACATTCAGGGACATTCTTAAACAAAACTTTAACTAAATGTATTGCCCCAGAAGTTCATATTTAATGTCTTTAAAAATATTGTTGGACCTTGTGTACTTGTGTTCTTCCTAAAGGCTGCAAGTTTCTTGAGCTCAGGAGTTGCATAGATGCATCTTTACATCCCTGGTGCCCAGCACGGTATCTGGCACATGGGAAATACTCAGTGTCGGCAGCATCTCTGAATAACAGATACAAAGAGCATATCATGTGCTCCAAAGTGAGACATAACTTTTCTTCTTCTTTATGCACAGAGGGCTATGTTTTACCTAGAAATGTTCTGTGAAGAAATAAGACAAATGGAATTAACTGGAATCTATAACCCTAGGGGAGGTAAGTAATGGACCAGATTTCCCATCTGATCTACTGGGAGATAAGAAGCTTCTATTTCAGGAGGAGGAAGTTTAGGGTCACCTCCTTGTGTGATGACACACGCAGGAGCATAATTAGCATCACGGCTTTGGCTGAAAACTGGAGCTTCCTTCATCAGAGACTTATTGGTTGGTCCCTGGTGACCCTGGCGATGAGAACTGCTCTAAGTGCTACTTTAAGGTTGGGTTCCTGGTAGCTATAGAAACACTGCAAATTGAGCAGAGCTGAACCTTGAAAGCAATAGGTGCTGTCATGGTAACTCAGTGCTGTCTGAAATCCTTGAGATAACACAGCCTTTCCTCAGATAAATGTCAAAGGACTCTCTTAAGAAATATCTACAGTGGGGAGGGGGGAAAAAAGGAAAATGAGCTGATTCCGGGAACCCAAGAGGCAAGCGAATTTTGGGAATGATGAGGGCAACAAATGTATAGATGTGCTTTACACAATTGATCTACGTATTGTGATGAATTTTATGAGCCCCAATAAATTGATTTAAAAAAAAAAGAAATATCTACAGCAAAGATTTATTTAGGAGAAAAATAGCTTCTGAAAGTCTGTCTCTTACCCTGGGAGTATCAGAATAGCCTTCGAGTATTACATTGATTATCTGGCCCGGGTACAATTCCATCCTGACGGGGTGGATCTGAAACACAGGGCTATTGTAGTCACTGGCATTGAGCTGTCCATCACCACAGCCCTTCTTCAAGTCCTTCTTGTCACTTGTGTCAAGAAAACTGTAGTTCATCCAGAACAGCTTTTGGACCCGGCGACCCCTATTGGCCAACTTGAAGCGGTAATAAAAGGGATCCAGGCTGGGAAAGAAGAGGCAGGTGTTTAGAAAATCCAATTTAGGGATGTTCTATTCCGCTATACACCCTTAGAAATCGTTCATTTAAAATTATTTAGAGTGGACAAAGAAATAAATCATTACCTTTCAAAAACGTTAGAAAATAGATCCTGACTATGGGGAATAAGCACCACAAGGAAGCCAAATAGCATTCACGCATGGAGTCAATAGACACCGGGACCTGGGTTGGTCCCAGACTTGCCATCACCAGCCAAAGGCTGCGGGAAAACTGCCTAATCCATTCTTGGCCTTTCCCAGAAGGTGGACGAGGCATACAGACACTATTCATGTGAAAACGACTTCATGAGAAACAGCTAGGAAGAATCAATGGGCAGCAAAAGATCGACTGGAAAATAAAATGCCAAGTTATGGTGACGAAACCTGCCGGCTGAGTGTAATGTCTTGTGCTGGGCTCCATCTAAGGGGATTTAAAAAGAAAAAGAGAAACAGTACCTACTTTCTAAGCCTTACGGAGAGCGAGAAGGTTGTAAAGAGCTGGGAGGCCATCTCATTGACCACTTTTCTCAGACTAATGTGCTCTGAAGGTGCTAGCACTTCATTCATTTAAATGTCTACTCCAGACATAGTCATTAAAGGCCTCCTAATTGTCTGGCCTACCACTTGTCTGTCAGTTTGCTGCACTATTGTGGCTTGCACATTGCTGTGATGCTAGAAGTTGTGCCACGGGTATTTAAAACAGCACCAGGATTCTTGATGGTGTGCAGATGGCAGTGGTGCTTCCAGACTAAGTCAGTTTAGGAAGAAGGACCCAGTGATCCACTGCTAAAATGCTTGGCCGGCGAAAACCTGTGATTACAACAGAATATTAACAATGGAGTGAGCCCTTTAGGTGGGAAGGTATTCAAACTATGACATGGATGGAGTAAAATATTTGGGATCTTCTTTTGCTAATGCAGAATGACTCAATATGAGAACAAACAGCTGTGCACATTTATTAACTGGAAGGTGGAATGTATTAAGGAGGAATCTAAAAATATTGGAAGCAGTTAAAAATGAAGTAGAACATTGAAGATTGATATTCGAGGCATTAGCGGGTAGAAATGAACTGGCAGAGGCCATTTTGAGTCACACAATCATATAGCTTTCTCTGCCAGGGAACAAGTCGGAGAGGAACAGCATCACACATTAAGTGGCAAAAAGAACATTTCAAGATTGGTCCTGAAGCACAATGCTCTCGGTGACAGGATAATACTCACACAGCTACAAGGAAGACCAGTTGATATGACTAACATTCAAATTTATGCATCAACCACTAATGCCAAAGGTGAACGAATGGATGATTTTTCAAAAGCAACTTCTATAATCTGACTAGCTTATAGAGATCCATATGTGTGCTGTCCCAATGAAAGGTGATTCAACAGGATACAAAAATCACCAAATAATGTCATTACTCTCAAACACAAGTAAAGTTTTCCTAAAGAGAATTTAAAACTAGTTTCAGCAGCACATCAATACAGAACTGCCAGACCTTCAAGTTAGGATTACAAGAGGACGTGAATAAGGGCAAGCACTCCTGAAACCAAAAGGTTATTAGCTGAAAGCTGACAGGACCAGAAAGACGTTTCCTTTGTTTTAATGACTATCCAAAGGCAATCAACTTGGTGAATCATAACAAATAGGAATTCCAGAACAGTTCATTATACTCATATGGAACTGTACATAGACCACGAAGCAGTTGTTTAAATAGAACAGAGAATAACTGCATGATTTATAATCAGGGTGATGTGCATCAGGGCACTAGTCTTTGACCATACTTATTCAGTCTGTAAGCTTAGCAAATAAGCCGAGAAGCTGGACTAGATGGAGAACGAGGCATCAGGATCGGAAGAAGGCTTATTAACAGCCCGTGCTATGCAGATGGCACAACTTCACTTGCCTGAAGCGAAAAGGACTTGAGGCACTACTTGTTGAAGATCAAAGACTAAGATGCAGCCTCCAGTGTGGATTACAACTCAACGTAAAGAATAAAAAAATCCCCACAATTGGACCACTAACCAACATCATGATAAACAAAGAAAAGATTAAAGTTGTCAAGTATTTCCTCTTACGTAGATCCACAATCAATGGCCGTACAACCAGCACTCACGAAATCAAGTGAAGTATTGTCCTGGGCAGATCTGTCTCACATAAACCTCTGTATAATGTTAAAGAGCAAAGAGATCCTTGTGAGGACTAAGGTGTCCCTGAGCCAAGCCATGGTATTTCCAGTGGCTTCCTGTGTATTTGATAGCTGGACAATGAATAAAGACGACCAAAGAATTGAAGCATTTGAATTACGCAGATGGTGAGGAATATCGACTACACCACGGACTGTCAGACCAACAAGTTCGTCATTTTCTAAAGAGCCAGAATCTGAATTTAGAAGCAAAGTTGGTGAGAATTCGTCTTGCATACGTGGACATGTTATTGGGAGGGACAAGTCCCTGGAGAAGGGCATCGTACTCCTTAGAGGGTGAGTGAAAAAGAGAAACACCCTCGGATGAACGGACACGGTGGCTTGAACAATGGGCTCAAACACAGCAACAACACTACAGATGGTGCAGGACCAACTAGTGTTTTGTTCTGTGGCACACTGCTGTACAGTGTGGTGTTTTGTTCTGTGGTACACTGCCGCACAGTGTGGTGTTTTGTTCTGTGGCACACTGCTGCACAGCGTGTTGTTTTGTTCTGTGGCACACTGCTGTACAGTGTGGTGTTTTGTTCTGTGGCACACTGCTGTACAGTGTGGTGTTTTGTTCTGTGGCACACTGCTGCACAGTGTGGTGTTTTGTTCTGTGGCACACTGCTGTACAGTGTGGTGTTTTGTTCTGTGGCACACTGCTGTACAGCGTGTTGTTTTGTTCTGTGGCACACTGCCGTACAGTGTGGTGTTTTGTTCTGTGGCACACTGCCGTACAGCGTGGTGTTTTGTTCTGTGGCACACTGCTGTACAGCGTGGTGTTTTGTTCTGTGGTACACAGTGTGGTGTTTTGTTCTGTGGCACACTGCCGCACAGTGTGGTGTTTTGTTCTGTGGCACTCTGCTGTACAGTGTAGCCGTGTCAGAATCACCTCCACTACAAAACTGCTTGGCCCTTTAGACATGAAACAATATAGATCAGTCCCTGCTTATCCAGAGCTTAGCTCTACCAGGAAGCGCTATTAGGACCTCAGGGAAGATTCACACGTTTTCATTTATTTGGGATAGAGCTACACAAGGGGGTACCCGCCCCCCAAATTGGACTTTTTTCCCAAAAAACTATTTAAATTTTTTACCTAATAACCTTATCCCCTTCAAAGTATTCTCTTTTAATATACTTAAGACATTTACTTAATACTACAATTAATACATTTGTCAAATCTGCTACTCCATTCTTGAAACATTTTTCAAATCATCTATTTGGATGGCTGACAGCACCTCCTCTGTTTGCTTTTTTCCCACCTCTTCTACATTGCCAAATCAGTGTCCTTTCATGTCCCTCTTCATTATGGAAACAAAAAGAAGTCACACGAAGCGAGATCAGGTGAGTCAGGTATGTGGGGCAAGAGAGGAATGCTGTTTTTTGCCAAAAATTGGCTCACTGAGATGGCTATGTGAGCAGGTGTGTTGTCTTGGTGGCAAAACCAGTCCCCCATCTGCCATAAGTCAGGCGTTTTTTGTCGCACATTGTCACACATCTTTTCAAATTCTCTACATAGAAAGCTTGATTAACAATCTGACCTGGTGGAACAAACTCCAAATGCACTATGAATTGACATTTTCATCCTTTCAGGAAGTTGATGGATATCCAGAATGAGGCTTGTCATCAATAGACATTTTACCTCTTTTGAAACGAGAAAACAACTCGTACCCTTGAGTTTTTCCCATAGGACCGTCCTTGTAAGCTGTGTCTAACATCACAACAGTTTCTGTGGCATTTTTCCAAAACAGGATTTTGTTTCCTGTTGTGATGTGAAATTTTGTTGTTCACAGCTGCACGCTGTTCTCTTAAATTGGCCATCACAAAAAACCAAGGCTTGAATGAAACTGCTTTTACGAAAAAATTCACTGTGACCATAGAGAACATTCCCAGGCAACACCACTGGGTGCACTAACTCAAAGCGAATTGCTCCTTGCTTGCCTAGCGGGAAATGTATACTGCAAAAGCTCTGATCCATCCAGCACAATTCCGGTGGTTGTTTTTTTGTGGGGGCAGACACACACACACACACACACACACACACTCGTATGTATATTTACAAAGGGGCTCCAAAAAGTTATTGGAACAGTGAAATGATGACGGAATTTTCCATGAAAAATTTTAAGTTTCCTTGTGTGTTTACATACATGTGTGTATGTGTAAGAACACATACACACATGTATGTACTGATGTAAACTCAAATTAGTGCGATTGAGTTGATTCTGACTCACAGCGACCCTATGTAGGGTTACTGAGGGCAGATAGCCTCATCTTTCTCCCATATGATAAAGGCTTACTTTTTTTTTTAGAGGGATAAAACTTATCTCAGGACTGCCTTTGGTTTGTGTCTTTTCATTTTAGTAGGCTTCAATATTTCAATTCCATCTGTCCTTCTTTAGGAGATGACATTATGTCTAGTAAGTAATTAAAGCATCAAAAAATAATTAGCAGGAGCACTTGTCAGTTGTCAGCCTTTCTATCTAAATATGTGTCCCAAAGGGCATACTCATTGAAGGACATTCATGCAGCAATTTGACCTCATGGTTTAAAGTAGGTTTGGGGGATGGGAGAGTGATAAGAAATAATATCTACTGCTTATAAATTAGGCAGAGACATCATTCAATATCACAACAACCAGTAATAGCATTTTACATTTCTTCTCATTTTATAAATGAAGAAAGTGAATCTTTGAATAATCTGAAAGTTGCCCAACAATATGCAATCAGACTGGGTGTTATATGGGTATTCCTTTAGACGAGGGTTGGCAAACTTTCTCTTTTCAGTCTCAAGTAATAAGTAGTTTAGACTCTGTGGGACACATGGTCCCATCTCAGCTGCTCAACTCTGCTCTTGTAGCATGAGAACAGCCTCAGACAGTGTGTTAACAGATGGGCATGGCGGTGCTCTAATAAAACTTTATTCGTGACATCGGCAGTAAGGAGACTTTGCTGTGCCCTGCTGTTGATGAGTTCTTGCAGACTGCTGTATGTCAAGAAGGGTAATGACTGTTTAGGTAGAGGGAATCTGGCAACTAAAAGCAACGTTTGCTTCTACAGTCCTACAAAACAGCTAACTCTCCAACTATAGGCAAGTGCCAGAATATTCTCTGGAGCTATTTGACACTCTTTGTAGATTAAGGAGAATTGAGTATATTGCTCCCTATATTTATAACTTTAAATAGAAGCACTAGTTTGCAATGACAAAATGCTCTAATGTGTGGCCCATAGAGAGGCAGAGGATGATTTTTAACCTAGTTGACAAAAACACTGTAAAGACTTCTCTGAGCAATATTTGATTAGACTATCTGACTTGCCTGTTATTTCATTATCTATCGGCTTTTTAAATGTCAAGGTCCATGTTTCAGACATGGTGCAGAGGAAAGGAGGCATGGGTAGAATCTGGGCGGGAGGCCGAACTATCATCCGTCAACGGTTCCAAGAGCAGGGCCTCCAGCTGAAGCTTCAGACTTAGACCAAAAGGCAGGAGCACCTTTTGTTTTTTTTCAGTTAATTAATTTATTTTTTATCATCTTATTAGGGGCTCATACCCATTTGAGATGTTTACAGTCTTGCATTGACTGGGCACACCTCACCGGGCCTGTGTGTCAGTACTACATTCTTCTGAGGAACCACAAGACCCTATACATTTCCTCCACCCTGTGCACTCAAAATGGATACACTTTTCCATCCGAATTTAGATTGTCTATACTGTGGTACCTTTTATTTAAATATTTAGACTTTCTATCTTTTCCTGGGTAACCAGTTAAAGCTAACTGCAATCATCTCATTTCTGTGGTGCTACTGTGGGGAGGCAAGCAGAGGACAAAATACCAAGAACCCGACTGATTTTGCAATGCCTGACAAGATACATTTGCACTACACTTTTGCCTTCCATGGAGCTTTCTATCCCCATAAGGAGCTATACAGTCTTGGGAACTCTAGGGGCAGTTCTACCCTGTCCTGCAGGGTCGCTCTGGGTCGGTATCAATTTGATGGCAGTGAGTTTTAGTTCTGGGGGGTATATACTTCCTGGTGGAGCAGTGGTTAAATGCTATGGTGCTAACCAAAAGGTTAGTGGTTTGAGCCCGCCAACCACTCTTGTCCCGGTCTGCTTCTGTGTGTGAGGCAGTTCTAGTCTATCCTATAAGGTTCTTGTGAGTGAGCACTGACAAGACTGCAGTGGGCTCAGGTACCTTTTACTTCAGTTACCACTATGTGTTTTTCCTATGTGCATGGTGAAGAGAGTCCAGTGTATTGGAATCAAAGAGGGCACATTAAAGTTGAGATATATGCTAATTTTGTCACAGAGAAGTCAATATAAGTGGACTTCACACCATCTCTCTCTCTTGAGAAGAGAGATAGAGCTTGGAGAATGTAACCAAGCTACACCGACGAAACTACTTTTTGTGGCTGATTGAGAAAGGATGGGGGGAAGTGAGAATGGGGAAGGGGAGAGATTACCGTGATTGTTCTATTGCCTTAAAAAATACTTTTCTGACTCATTCTCTCACTCACTCTCATTCACTGACTCACTCTCTCACTCACTCACTGTCTCACTCATTCACTCACTCTCTCACTCACTCTCTCACGGAAAGAAAAATAAATTAAAAAAAAGAAAAAAAATACTTTTCTAAAGTGGAGATGATGCTCAGCTTATGCAACATGTGTGCTATCTGTATTCATTTTACCTGAAATATGCTCCCAAATTGAGTTCGGGAGCAAAGGGTTTATCTGAAACAATGGTGGAACCAATTCCTGAAGCCTGGACTTGAATCCGGTAGGTGCTGCTGTTTTTGATGTCCAAGATGACCGTGTCTTTGAATAGCACTGTGTCATCCAGGTTGGCCGTCACCACCAGCTGAACCTCTGATTCCGGAGGGATGGTGCCGTTAGTGGGCTCGACGGTCCAAAGCGAATTTTTGCGTGCCTGCAATACAAGGCTATGAGTCAACAGTGAGACAATGTTGGTTTTGCATTCTGCACAGGTCAAAGCCCACTGTACTTCAAATGGCTGGCATGGAGGAAGCCAACATCAGAGACAAAAATTTTTTTTTTTTATGTCAAAGCAGCTGGCTGTTTGTTGACTTTTTCTGTTTCTCAAAAAGCAATCTGATACTGAAGAACATGCCTGTGATTCTACTTTTGAACGTTCTGTGAGAATTTCTTCACCTCTTGCCCCAAGATGACAAGCCCAGTTATATAACAAGCTTATACTCATTGTTTGCTCTCATCTCAAAATGCTGATGTACCAACAGAAGGTACAATGTCCTTTCTGTAATCTGGAAATTTCAAGGGAAACGTTTTTCAAACTCAGAGATTCTATGATGCTATAGTAATTGTAGGAAGCTTTCATTAATAAATAAGAGAAGTCAGCCTGACTTCTATTATTTCATAATAATCAATAGAATTTCATTCTTCAGCAATAAGATGAAACTGATTATTAGTGCATGTTTATATATGGATGAGCCTTGAAAACATGGTAGGAAAGAAGATACACACAAAAATTCACATCTGTATGAGAATTATTCTTTATGTGAATTATTCAGAATAGACAAACCCATAGGGACAAAAGTAGATTAGTGGTTGCCAGGAGATGGGGATAAAGCAGAATTAGGACCAACTGCTAACAGACGCAGGATTCCTTTCTGGGATGTTGGAAATACTCTGGCATTAGATAGCAGTAATGTTTGCACAGTTTTGTGAATATACTAAAACCACTCACTGAATTTTACATGTTAAAGGGGTAAATTTCATGGTATGTGAATAATCTTGATGAAGCTATTATAAAGAAAAACATTTTCTATATGTAGAAATTTTCTGTATTTATAAATAGAAATATATTTTTCTATATTTACTTTTAGTTTTTTCCCCCTTTTCATATTTTTAAACTTTTTACTGTGAATTAGGTGAAGGTTTACAGAGTAGATGATCAGTTTTACATTCAACATTTATACACATTTTGTTGTCAACTCATCCATTGTAAATCGTTCAGTGTACCATAACTTAGCCCAGTTCCTCCCTGTGTTTGCTATTTTCTTTTTTTTAAAAATCATTTTATTAGGGGCTCATACAACTCTTATCATAATCCAGACATACATCAGTTGTGTAAAGCACATTTGTACATTCATTACCCTCATCATTCTCAAAACATTTGCTCTCCACTTAAGCCCCCGGCATTAGGTCTTCATTTTCCCCCTCCCTCCCCGCTCCCCCCTCCCTCATGAGTCCTT